AATTGCAATCATCATTAGAAAGAGCGTTCAATTCTCTATAAAACCAATTTAATTGAACTTAACTATTACTATAAATATTGCCCTAGTTATATGCCTATAAAATTTGTGTCACGAAACTCAGTGAAACGGTTTTCAACATTATCCGCAAATCAATGATTTGCGGTTTGCTGTTCTGGCTATGTCGCATGTCGGAGGTTCATGAATAAAAATAGCTCATTCACGTGCTATTGTAATGAATTTAAATTTCAGCAGGAGCAAAAAAAAATGTCATTCGGTGCTCCGTGCCACACGGCCCACTCAGTGGTCGAGTTTCAGGAACAGGCCTGCCCGGCCTTCATCGAGCCAGATGCCTGGCCACCGAAGAGTCCTGTCCTCAGCCCTTTTAACTTATTCGTGTGGAGCGAACTGGAGCGAATGGTGTACAGAGGTCAAGAGGATCAGCACCATCGAGGAGCTGAAGGAAAGGCTGACGGCCTGCTGGGACCAGTTGTCCCAGAGACTGCTGGCCCGCGCAGTTGGAGCCGTCCGCAAGCGACTGCAGGACTGCGTGACGGCCCACGGAGCTCGGTTTGAGCACATACTGAGATGAACAGCGGGAGCTAGGATGCGTGTATCTGTTTTATTGTGTGCTTCTGCGTAAACCTTTATGTAATAAAATTGAATGTGGATGTGGTATTATTCCTAAAAAAAAAAAACAACAGATGGAGTGCTAACGGATTTCAGTGCATTGTTAACAATTGGCGATTTCGTTTCACTCAGTTTTCTGACGCTCATTCCGAAACCTAACAGTGTGTCAATACTTTACAGGATACATGCACCAACTTGACATTATGTTATAGAGGATTTAATGCTCTTTCTAATGGTGTTTGCAATTTGTCAATAAAATGAATTCTTTTGGACTTATAGACATTTTAAGTTAGGGGTTCCAAATTTTTTGGATCACCCTGTACATATACATATTGTAGGTAGCTGGGCAATTCGGCCGTTGATGAAATGGCCGTATGATTACCGCATTGTGCCTTATGATGGCACACAGACCGAGCAGCACAGCTCGTAAGGACACTGATCAGTGATCATTCACACAGGGAACTCGCACATGTAACGATGAATGTGTCGTGCTGCGACGTTCTGCGCCGTCAAACTGGCAACAACCTTTGTAATTATCACTCTACATGCTCGTCTGGTCACAGAATGCACGTTTGCATGCAAAATACTTATTTACTGCTCATTTCTCAATAGCGTGCATACTGAACTAGGGGTCAATCGGGCTAGCAGGTTATGTGCACGGCATTACGCGTTCAGCCATGATTATGGGCAGTTTCTGCAAGGTCTGTAGACACTGCTGCGACAGCTATTGATTGTTCAACGCACCTAACTAAAACTCAAACAAAGGAGTGAAGGCACAAGGAGTTTTACGGTGGCCTAAAAAGTACACTGCCTTTAATTAACAAATATAATTGAATGTATGATCTCGAACAGCGTAGGTATCTACGACAGCACGTCTGCAGCTATAATTATTTAGCCCCGCACGTGTCATGAATGTCACGTAAACTATTAGCACGGTCAGGAAGCTGTCTGGATGGAATATCACGAACACAGCGGATGTCACCGCGGTCTATCGGCGCTTCATTGACTTCCCGCTCGCAGATGGTCGACGGCGCGCGTGTCATCGAGCGTTACTGGTGACCTTTACCGATGACACCCCATTAGAGAGCCAAAAGCCCATCTGCCCGGCGACCACACTCGCCAACTCCGGTGGTGAGGGTCGTGTGGTGGCGTATCGGCCCCCGCGCCGGCCCGTTGCGAACCTCCAGTTGACGCCAGTTTTGGACAGTTTACAACGGGCGACAATTCAGTCGCGGTCGGTCGCGTCGATTCGGGTCACGACCGATGCGCGGTGTCGGTCGACGCGCTCGTAACTGCGCCCACTGACTGTGTCTGGCGGGCTACTCGCCGTCCACCCTCCAGCTGTGTGTGGAGTTGTGGAACTCCGCGGCACTTCAGCGCCGTCCGTAGTGCCGCGCGTTGGCGGAGGGCGCGGGTGTGACCTGTGTCAGGCTGATGACCAGTGCACAGAACGCCACAGGGGCGGCCGTGGGGCCGGTCGATAGTGCGCTATCGCAGGTAGGAGCGCCCTGTTCTGGACAGGAAGTCTTCACCGGCCACAAAGAGGGCACGTGCTGATCAGTGGAGGCGAGGCGCTGTCGGCCATGGGGGCCCTGCCGGGCAGGAAAGGGGTGCTGTCGACGGTGATAGGCACCCGCCACGCCGGCTAGGGGTGCTGCTTGAGGGCAATGACGGCCGATCGTGTTTACTGAGTAGCCATCGGTCCGTGGTAATATAAGGTTGCAAGGAGGTGGCCCCTAATTCACCCGTTAGCAGTGGTAGGATACAAGATACCTACACTCGCTGAGGTGACCATGGCAGAAACGGGTGAGATGCGCCAAGTGATTCAGGGTATCGGCAAGCCTAACTCCAAATTTTTGATAGATCATTTCAATCCCAAATTAGAAGGATTTATACTTCAGACATGGATTTTGTAGCTCAACCGTGAAACGCATGATCGAAACTGCATCCAAACATAGAATATGGTTTTGGTTATCATTCATAAAATCTTCTGATCATGCCGGCTTGAAAAATGGCTTGAAAGGCCATCGTAAGAGTGATTACGAGCGAGCGAGCGCAGCGAGCGAAGTGAGTCTTTTCAATATAACGGAAAAATCTCAGTATGAGCGGCCCGGCCCGGCCCGGCCTGTAACGCTTTTGATAGGCTTATATCTCAGCAACCGCTGGACCGATTGGCCTGCGGTCTTTTTTGTTGGGTAGCCCCATCCCTTCTACCCCGTAACTGACTACTTTTGATACATCTCAGTGACCGTCGTGGCACGTGCCACGTGAAAAGTCAAGGGTGTTCAAGCTGTTTTGCAAAAGTAGTGATTTTGAGAGGCTCATATCTCAGCAGCCGCTTGGGCGATTGACTTTGCGGTAATTTTTGTAGGGTAGCAGCATCCCTTCTACCCAAAATAGGATACTCTCGATGTATGTGGGTCACCCCCAGTGCACGTGCAAAATACAACAATAAGAGGTGCCAAATTTGCTCCCATTTCAGTAACTCGGTAATTACTGGGGCGATTTCGCTGAAACTTGGCATACAGGTAGGCACCCACCAGGCAATGCATTCCCATGTGTTGCGGTTAGGGTGCTACTGCACGTGCGCACGTGCAGGGGGCGTTTCCAGATCTCGAGAACGGCTGGGCCGATTGCGCTCAAATTTGGTACACTGTTGGGGACGAGTTAGTAGGGTGCCGTGCAAAAGTCATTTTGGACCCCGTTTGCACGTGCGCACGTGCAGAATGCCGCTTCCAGATCTCAGGAACGGCTGGGCCGATTGCGTTCAAATTTGGCACACCGCTAGCGACCGGTTAGAAGGGTGCTTTGCACAAGCCCGTTGGAAGTACCCTCTCGCCCTTCCGCACGTGCAGGGCTCACTATCTCGCTCGCTCGTTCTTCGCCCAAAAGGCGTTTTACTGGTTTTTAGCAACGACATACATCAACAGAGAAATGAGAAACTTTTTTTTTCTGTATGCTCTCAGCTCTGCTCAATGGGTGATCGATCTTTTCCAATGCCTAACTCAGCCGTCGGCATATTTGATGTTAGGATCTTTCAAAGCATTTCCTCAAGTTATACAAGCATAAGTTATGCAAGAATTAGATGCCTTTTAGGCTACTCGTGTTGTTCTATAAGGAGCTTAACTTATCGCGATTCCCATGATAAGCATATTCTCAATGCATATACGAGAGCTTATCAGTTATATCCAACATGCATAAATGCTATTCACTTGAATGATTTTTAAACTACTCGTGTTATTTTGCATGACTTTATCTTTCCATAAGCAAGATGTTTACTGTAAACGCATAAACATTAATGTAACTGGGGCGTTCAACTGTCCTCTTAATGCATTGCTGAATTTTTAGGAGCTTTACATAGTCACGAATGTAAGAGCCATTGAGGAAATATTCATTAAACCGCTTAACACGTCAATATTCCAGTACATGATGTTGAGTCGTTTAAAGATAAAACCTATGAACAACAACGATACGATAAGGGCACACTGCAAGTACCCTGAAGTCCTGTACCGAATGCGCCAGTCCGCAACTGTTACACGTACCAGCACCATGCACTTGCATGACTGCGATCTGTATCTTCGGCACTGTGCTGTGTTGCAACGAAAAAGACATCACCGCGAAGCATTCCTGAAACTCAGACCTTATCGCATAAGTGCCAATTTGTAAATTATGAAATATGTGGCTCCATAAAAAGATGGACACTGAACCGACCCTCATGAAATATTACGATGTTGTGCAGCAAAGTGGCTCCCAGGCTCGGGACACGTCCCATCCTTGATGCTTTAAGTTTGTCACAGCCGTAAATACACAGCACCTCGCAGTTTCATAATTTGTTTGCAGAAACCATGCGAAGTTTTCACCAGGAGCATATGACAGTATGGTATCTTACCAAAAACCTACCTTAAACGAGAATGAACGTTTTAACGAAACTTTGCATCCTGTTACACCTTTAGTAAGTAAAAAAAAAAAGACACAACAACAATGGATGGCAACTTTGTTTTCACTTTTGGCTCAAATTTATAAATTACACTCAAGCATTGGTTTTATTGGCATTGGAGACAGAACAGCAAAACTAAGGCTTCCTTGAATTGAAATGCATTACAACTGTATATGCGCCACATTTATTCTTTCTTGAAAGCTTTGACATTTTAACAGTTACATAATATCCATTGAGCGGTTGAATTCCAGAAACTGCAGCCCCAGTCGTGGGGCACTTTCCTTCCGGGTGCGATCACACGTTCGATCTGCGCTGGTCTATCGCCCCCCCCCCCCCTCACATACCCTCTGCACCCACCTGTGAGTGTCTGGCACGAGGTGGTCACTGCGTTATCTCCTCCGCCCCCCCCCCCCCTGCGGCGCCGGCGCCGGGATCTGTCCTATCGGCGGCGGCGACGGCGACGGTCACTGGAGTGCCGCGGGCCGTCCGGTCGGGAGCGACGGCTCCGACGGAGGGGCGACTCGACACCAGTTGGCTCCGGCTGGCCGCGGGTCCAGGACGAGTGGCCGAGAGCCGCCGAGAGAGAGAGGCGTTGAATGGTGAAGTGAGCGGTGGTGAAGCTATGGAGTTGCAGAGTGCAGCTGTGGACGAGAGACGCAGACTCGAAAAGGTGTTGTTCTTCGAAGCAAAACAGAAGGCATGAATTGTGGATGTTGTGGTTGTCTCTAGCTTTATCAAGCCACGTCGTCTGCTAATTCATTTATGCAATAAAGATTAAATATCGCAACGGACAGTATCTCGCAAAAGTTTGTAAGAGTGGTCTGTCAACATGGAGCAATGTTGGACTACATAAAGGTACGTACCTACGTTTAATATTCTTGTAACAGCTTCGAAAATATGGCAATCCTCACGCAATGCTAAAAATAATAATTGATATCAGAGCAAAGTGCATGACTTGCTTATGCAAGTCACAACATCAACAGCGAGCGTACCGAGTTGCAAGCTATGCATCGTCGTAGATTGTTTTTAGTTTCTTCTTTCGTCAACTAATTTCACTACTTTGATTCATTCCCATCAGCGACAATGCGGTATGACTCGTCTTATGAGACACAAAGAAGAACCTGATGCATTTTCAATTCGTTCATCTCAAGTCTCAACCAGAAAACACGGAATGCGTCAGAAGTTTTGTATCTGCATCGACGGCTTCTCAAAATTGACGAGTACTGCGGTACAGCATACGTCATAGGCGCTGTCTTTGGGTGACATCTATTGGCAGCAGTTCGAACTATCCACCAATGATCAAAGGAGCATAAAGAGCTGGCCGCATAGCGCTGACAGTGGTTGCACGTCCGACTATTATACTAGCAGGCACTATACACACTTCACCCATTGTATCATACTTATAACTATTAGCAATATCTGGTTATTCTTTACGCCTACCAAGATAGCCCAGTGTTCCTTGTTCTGCTATTACAGACGACAGCCTATAATGGCTTGCGCGAAGCCACCGAGTGTGCTGCGACAGCCTTAACCCGGCAGTTGCTGGGGTATTTCGCCACCCACCGTTTGCTGGGGGGGGGGGGGGGGCGTTAAACGCCCCCAGCCGATAACTCGAGAACCAATAGGCGCAGCGAAACGCACGAGGCGGCAAACGAAAGAACGCGACGAGACGCTTCAGATGAGTACTTTAAAGTTGAATTTTGAGGTCACAGGTCAGGTCAAGGTCAGGTCAAACACCTAAAATCGGGCTTTCAGTAGCATGGACTTCATGACTTCGCAATGGGCGCCTCTCGTCATAAACTCCGTCAAAACGGTGCACAATCCATCATATAAGGCCTACAAGAGTGTCAGCTCCATGCAGGGGTCAGTCAAGCATAGGTCAGGGTCAAGGTCAGGTCAACCGGGCAGGCACATATCCCCGAAAATCAAAACTGATATTCGCAGCCTGTGACACATGTTTTATGGGTAATTTGGGGCGTAGAACACGATGGTGACATTCATTTTATCATATGTGTACGTGTTTGGCTAAAAAAGTTCAATTTAAGAAATTCATGTATCATGGTCGTGAAGTAGTCACGAGAAATTGCCAAGATTCAGTTCAAGATTTTGGAAAATGCCGAACGATAATCAATAATCGAAGATAGCCATTTGATTTTCCATGGTATTGGCAGTCTAATGGCGTTTACGGCATGTCTATATGTCTATTCTGTGATTTTATATGATTTTTTGAACATATGCCGTTTTTGGTCGAAAACTCAGAAATCATGACGTCACTAAAACCTCGATATCTCAAAAATGTTCCGACCGATTTTTTTGAAACTTTGTCACAATAAACTTCAATCAATTCCCTACAGGTACCCAAAATTTGGCGCGCCTGCGGGGCGCCGTTTTTATGCTATGGCCCGGCGAAAAAAGTGGGGGCGTTTAACGCCCCCCCCCCCCCAGCAACTCGCGGGTTAAATTTCATTAGATATGGGTCGTGGGCAGTCCAGCGTCGTGTTACTGTCATGTCTGGCCCACGGCCCTTCAGAACAGGTCAGCAGAGGGATATTGATGTATCCGACACAGTGAAAGCGGCGCAATTTTTCATCGCCATTGTTGGAAAATGCCGCTGATGTTTTAGCAAGAGGTACACATAATTTTGCTCCCGACGGGCTACAGCCCTAATCGGGGAGAGGTACACAACTTACAATGCTATTATAACAGTTTAGGGACACGTTTTTATTGTTAAAGAAATAATGTACATATTTCTAACAAAAATGAAGGAATTATAACAATGCTCTGATATCAACTTACTTTCAATGAAAGTCGAATAGTTTTTTCATCTTTTTCCGAAAGATCAGAGAACACCGCACGTGGTATGGTAGATATCACATGAAGCACGCCTAAAATCTATCATATTGAGACGGTTGCTGGTTCAGCCACTAATCGTTCCGATGTGTTCACATTTTTCCCCATTTGGCAACGAGGTCCATAGACTCTGTTGCGAGCGCATACCTCATTAGATGTTTTGAGAGTCTTGAATTCCAGAATAGGCACTTTCCCCAACATGGAGTTCAAGCTGGATCTTTCAACAACTGAGCTGTACTTGTTCGGCACTGCAGAACAGAGCTGAACTGTCGCACTCCATTAGCCGGCTGAGCTGGGTTTATTGCCAATTAGTCTCACGGACTAATTGTGAAACAGTCCACCTGCCACCTGGACTAAGTCTGCCGCAGCCGTTAATCATCATCTGGTTAGCCTGAGTCTCCACGCCGCGACCCATTCATCATCTGTACTATAGAGCGACCCGTTTTTGTCGCCAGGATTCTCGTCGGTTTCTTGGCATGGAAGACATAGGGGTATATGTATCCTAGATGCGGGAAATGCAGTCATCACATACGCGAGCCGGATGCAGGTATATCTAGGTCACACAGTTCATTGAGGATGAGTATGTTGCACATTGATCTAATGCATCATTCTGAAGTAATTTATTATTTAACTTTGTTTTAAATAATGAATATCTGGACCTGATCAAATTAACTTTGCTAGTCTGACCATATTACGACTTTAGGTATTTCTTATTCCACTAATTTTACAACTGTATTCCTCAAATCGATCGTTTCCTGGCCTTATCCAGTTTCATTGGATTATAGGTAGATACAATATACCTATTAACATAACCAGACCCGAGTCCCATCTATAAGTGCGAACTAATTGTGGTGGCCCCAATAAAGACGAATCTTGATGCACCTTAGTGGAAGGAGCATATCACCCCATTTCTCGGATAGGTGAGCAGACCCTGAACTTCACTCGCCTTCCTCGCTATGCCGTGAGCAGCGCCAGCATCACAGCCATGCATATTTATACGGCGCTGGCAGCAGATAACTTAGAACTCCCAGCGCGATGACGGGATATGTGAGCCAAAAATTGCCCCAGATCATAATAAGTCCTCGAAAGGTCCTTGACGAAGTTTATGCTCACATAGCTTTCATCGCTGTCGCCAAATTTATGAGATTATAAACCCTCGCCCGTACTGGCTCTTTTACAGATTTTGACGCAGGTTTAACGTCCCAGTCGATCGGTACCCAATTGAGCATAGAGTTTTGCAGACAATGCTCGCGAGCAGCACGCTCCTCTCGGCCGCTCCTCTCGTCCGCTCCTCTCGTCCGCTCCTCTCGTCCGCTCCTCTCGTCCGCTCCTCTCGTCCGCTCCTCTCGTCCGCTCCTCTCGTCCGCTCATCTCGTCCGCTCCTCTCGTCCGCTCCTCTCGTCCGCTCCTCTCGTCCGCTCCTCTCGTCCGCTCCTCTCGTCCGCTCCTCTCGTTCGCTCCTCTCGTCTCGTCACGCATGACGAGAGGAGGCCGATGATAACCAACTTTAAAGGTTATAGGCTGACCTTCCAGTTCAAGTCCTACCAAAACGTCGGGGAAATATATATGGGTCCTGGCTCCTGCTAGGATTTCTTGAAGCATACATAGTTTTATGGAGTAAATATTTCGGAGTTTTGATTTCAAAATCTGCATGTTTTATACAAAACGATGTAGTATTTGGAGTAGGTCGTCTGTTTTTTATTGGTGAAACTGGCCTCAGGTCAGGTCATCTGGTAGCCATCTTACCAGCTATTGAAAGCAGGTGCTGACCAGTGACCAGTAACTTGCACTTATCTACATACAGCCTCGCAACATGCTGTACAGTTACCAAAACCTGTGTTCAAATGTTGAAATGAAAAATAAATTTATATCAGCTAGAAAAAAAAACTTTCCCAAAAAAGTTGACTAACTCAAGTCAACCGAGGTCATCTTAGGTCAATGAAAATGGCTTCATGTTCAAATGGCTTTGACACCTATCATACTTCATGGGGCAAGCATCAGTTCACATGTCTGCACGTTTTTAATCACCACAAGTCTAGAAACGGACATATCCTCTTGAGTCCCGCCGATTCGCCCATGAATGGAGAGCAACGAAACTTTTTTGGCTGAGAGCTTTGGTGCCAATAATGACCAGATTGGTGACATTTCAGCCGTGAAGGTCATCGCGCATGCGCAGAGACATGTATACTGGGATATACAAAAATACTCAAAGCCTATAAAATCTGACTGAAATGCAATCCATGAAAACTTCCATACAAACACCAAAGTGTATTTTTTCGTTTGTTTAGGACGTAAAATGGCTAATAGTATTGACACGTTTAATTATCAACACCACTCGCCCTTAACTTCAGCTTCTTCTGCCCCTTGCCCACTGCTCTTAGGTCTTTAGTTGCCATTTCCTTTGAAAATATAGAACTTGTAGCACCTGTGGCGAATCGATAAACAGTAGAGGAAGACCTTGCAGCATTATCTGAAGCGACATCTCTAAAAAAAATTCGCCATATGGTGTGTTTTAGAGAGGTGCTTGCCTATGTCATTGTGCTTAGGGGTCGGATTCTAATTCATCGGGCGATTTATCAAACTTTGAGTGAGGATCTACGGCCATTGAGGTCGCCAACGATTCGAAGAATGTTAACGCTGAACCACAGAGCCATTTGAAGGCATAATGTTGTTTGTGAGCCAAAAAAAGGCTTTAACTAACCCAGCAACCATGTATACTACAGTATACATGACTAGTCCTAGGCACAGTCCGTTGTATACTGACGTTTACATTTCTCCGTCGTGCAGGATCCCGTTGGTCACTCGGGTGTACATGTATTTTTTCAGAGGTCAATTCCTCCGAATAATTGTAGTGCTACTTCTTAAGCACGTCATACATGAACTTTAATCCTTTCTGGAAAAGTTCCAAACACACAATTTTGTTTACAAAACCTGCAAGCAATGATCAACAACGAATGGTTATGTTAGCAAAGCAACAGTTTTCGATGAGTCATACTCTTAAAAAG